TGACATCAAAACCGAGACTGAAGAATATATTATTCCAGATGAACATATGCGTCCTCGGCTCATCAGCTGGATTGATAGCCATCACGTTCCCATCAACGACTGCCATAGCACCCTTGAAACGTTTTCGTAGGTGAAAACATAGGCTACTGGAGGGAATGGCAACCGCTAGCAGATAGTACATTTTAGAGTGATTAGAAGAGTTCAGATAGTCAAATAGAAGTGAAAAGCAAAAGACCTAATTCAATGTTCGGTCATGAGGTTGCAACCACATGGACACTCGATAAAATCAGATATCGCTCTTCACTAAAACTAACCTTGATTGCAGCCCCAATGAAGTCGCCGTGAATCTTGAAAACACTCCTATCTCTGGTGACTCGCTCGGATAGAGTAGCACGCGCCATTTCGTGGGTGGTCTGAAGCTCCTCGTTCCAGTCACGGATCTGTCCTGGTAAGTGATCTGAAAACAGCAGAAATTTGCAAAAATATGGAAGGTAACCCTCCACCCCACCTACCCTCAAATCCAACGCGATGCGGTTGAGACGCGTCATCTGCGCGAATCGAATCCTCGATGACCTCTTGCACAGGGGACAACCAAGAATGAACTGGATATGGTGTCGGGAGTCTATCGAGCATATGGCGCTCATTGCGCTTCTTTATCAAAGTGGGATAAACCTATAATAGCAAGAGTTGAAAGTGATTGTAAGAAAGAGAAAAGTTGATGGAACTAACTTTTTTGAAACCTGGACTGAGAACGTTCAGAAGATCAACCAAACTGTGATAGACGTTCTTGTTTTGACTACTTGGTTGAGCGTTAAAAACGTCGTCAGTTGATGAGTTCACGAAAAATCCCTGAAGCGTTAGATAAATCTCGTTACAAATATCCAGAGCATACATTATGTAGAAATGTGGGTAAATTACCTTAGTGCAGCAAGTAATGTGAAGGCGACGTTTTTCTACTGTGTCTACATAAATGTATAGGACATCCCCCTTCACTTTTCTGTACCCAGGAGGCGGGTTGAATGACGAAATCCCCATGTTTCGTATAGCCGGCTTTCCTTTGGGAAGATGCGTCAACATCGGAGCCAGAGAGCGCTCCTGAAAATTTAAGGTAATACTTCGAAGTGGGCACAATTGGAATCTAAGTAACAAAGAATCCGACAACATATTCAGCCATGACGCAAGAGAGAAAAATCACAAATCATAAGATTGAAGACTTCGCAGCAATCAATGAATGGTTGATTTCCGTGTGAAATGCACACAAAACCTCCCTTTATTTGAGTTAACAAACGAAAAAGGTTGAACTAACCTTAGTTCCAGGTACGACGTACTCTGGGGGCAGGGGGCAGTCCATCGAACGGTTTTCTCTTTGTCACCTCTTTCTTGGAGATTGACGGAAGTGAGGAAGGAGAGCGAACTCATATCAACTGCCGAAGCAGCTTCAGCCTGATCAGCATGCCGTAATAAATCACGCACATGACGAATATGTACCCGTGCTTCTCTCAATGTATATGGCTCTGCAAACATAAACAAAAATGCATATATTATGTAAAATTGAAGAACACATTTGTGAGTTCTACTCACCATCCACAACATGTAAAACACTCCCATCAACTAGATCAGGAATAGCTCGAATTTCAGTAAAGTTGTCGAGACTAACGCCATTGAGTTGAAGACTGAAGCATGTCTTGTGACACGTAGATTCGCGCTCCAGAAGCACCTGATGCAACTCCTGCACCATTTCTCCGCTGTTGATCTAAAAAAAAGGAGGTTGAGAATTGATAAAAAATTTACTTTTAACGACATCTCAGGTTGCGGAATCGCTACATGGCTCACATTGTCCCATCGTGTCTACCTTTTGACATTCAAGAGAGTTTCAAAACTAACAGCTTTAACTGTCCTTTACTTATGCAGAACTCGGCAGGTGACGGACTACTTGAACTTAGCCCTTTAAACCTCCTCTGCGTTCTCTCGCGGGTCCCTCCATCCTCTCTAATGCTTAGTCCTAGGTCCTCTAATCGTCTGTGCTCTAGCCATCGCGGCAGGACCATTGAGGAAAAATCAAGTAGTCCGTAACCGTTCAAGCTCAAATAGCTCAAACAACATATATTTCTAAGAACACCAAATCCAAAAAATTCTTCTTTTGGTCATCAGAAAGTTTGAAAAGGAGAGTAAAGCAATAGGTGGAATAGCGATACCTGGAACTCGAAAGAGTCCCCAACAGTGGGTTGGATTGTGAGGGTCAGAACTGCATCCTGCGCTGCTGCTGCTTTGAACTGGGCCGTCGGATCGGATTCGGCTATTTCACCTGCAAAGGTTTAACAAGTACATCTCGAACTACAACAAATATCGATACAAAGTTAACAAATAAATTTACCATTAGTGCGAACACAGTCTGGCGATCCACTGACAGATGCGTTCCCAGAATCAGGTAATTGCGGTTCAATTGTGCCTTTATTGTTCGCCACCACCGCTGAGTCTACCTCAGCTGACGTCATACCTACAAGGATTTCACATTGCATGAGTGATTACGAAGTACTGTCTAATGAAAACATGTTGCTCAGAGTACAGAGTACTTTGTGAGAAGGAACAGTGAACATTGACAATGTTAGTGTGTTCAACTTTGCGACAGCGATTCGCTAGCGTTCACGATCGTGTCGTGTACAAAGATTGGCTCGATTCGCTACACGCGACGAGACCGTGGACGCTAGAATCGCTCGATTCGCAAAGTCTTGACATCGGCCTTAGACAAGTCACCTGTTCGACTGATGCATTAAATGTTCAGAAATCTAGATGGAAATCTTATCACAGAAGCTCTAACACTGCAGTAATGTACCAGAAGTAGCAAGAATCGAACGTAAAATGTCAGCAAATTCAATCATTCAACATTTGTGTTACTATTACGAAAAGAGTCTGCCAACCGGAGTCTAAAACAAACATGTGGCAGTGACATCCGATAAAGGTCACAGGCCGTAGTAATGAACAAAGGCCAAACGTCAATGAGGGCTCACCTCCAACTCCAACGTCTAAAAACACAACAATGCACAGCGGAACCAGCGTTTTTCTCTTAAAACCTACTCATATCGCAAAAGTAGATAGAAGTTTCAAAACTTTTGATATGATCAACAGATTAGTCCAGATGTAATCATTCATTCTGAGACAAAAGAGATCATCCCTTTCAAAGGTAAATATAAAAAACGAGAAGGATCCCGAAGAGAAGTATCCAGTGTTTGCATCACGAGAAGCGCTCGAGACATTTGTTCGCGTCAATCACGCAAAGACGCGGTTATTAGACTGCCACCGTAACCCCGCTTCATAAACATTGAATTTCACAGACAAACTCTTTGTTTCTGAACGAGCAATCAACAAGAGAATTGTGAAATTAGTCGCTCAAGATGAAGATAATGTTGAAAACTTGTTGAAACAGATTAGAGGTATCGCCAACGGATTAAAATGTACAGGAAAGATGAAGTGCGCAGATAACAGATTTCATATCAAGATAAACAGCTGCTGACAGAAAGGTTCCAGAAAGATCTTCAATTAATCACTACAGAAGTAAACTCAACTGGTCGTTGGGACAAATGGGGAAAGGATGAACACCAGTGGCTTAATTTTTAAGGAAATGCAACGGGCATAGCTTCTTCCTGAACTTATACAAATTGAATAGTAAGCAGCTAGTGGCTCTATATTGACCAGGAACATGGAGTTACTCATTAATAACAAATGTATGAACAGATAAGGGCGATAAGGAAAGGGTACCTTGGCAGCACAAGGGCTAACATGCGATGGCAAACAAAAAGCTACCGATATAACAAGCACACATAGAGTACACAACAGTATATGGGAAGGGAATTCCTTTTAAACACTTCCAAACTTCCTTGTTTATGCACTAGGGAAATGGGATGGGTCACCGGAACTGCCACGATTTCTCCCAAATTGAACACTCAGGGAAAGGGAAGTTCACATAAGAAAATACAGCCGATAATAGCGGAAAATTCCCTTCGGCTTGACAGAGACAAGATCGAACAAAAAAAAGACATCCAGTGCGTGACCCAAGCATAGTAACATAGATGCTTCGGTGATGATTCTTGGATTATTACACCTTTTCCAGTGGTTTTAAATGGTTTGTAGTAAATAAATAAAACAACAAGTAACATGGAAAAGCTCCAGTTTGAATTGAATTGAACCCAATGCCTAGGGATTCAACGCAAGGCCCGCCTCAGCACTAGAAGGCAGAGTTGGTGGCGCGTCCACGCCCTCACCATTACCCTGAGAAATAGTGCAATTCCATTAGAACATTACTTACTTAATACTGACCGGAATTTCTATAACACGCCTAAAGTAACAATGGAACCACACAACAGGCGCGATTAAAGGTCATGATTCGGCTGGTCCCGGGACGAATGCCTGCCATTTGATTGCGGCGAAGCCGTGATCGACGGCTACTCCGTTGATTGCAGTAGATATTGCTCCACATTTTTTCAGAGAATCTTCAAAGGAAGACAACACATGGACTACCAGTAGACCACCGCAAGTGTGAAGCTCTCGGTGGATTCATGCTACAGTAATCTGCAAGTTTGTATAAATATGGTCCCGACACGACGATACAGTAATCGATGGTAATGATTCGTTGTTGGATCGACAACAAACGCTGTCGATCGTCGTTCTATCCTTCCAAGGCCTGTCTTCGTGATGCTGAGCGACAACACGGAGTTCTCGAAGGCCATCAAGTCAGTTCACAGACTTTTACCTAGTGCGAAGCTCAAAACAAATACAATATTTTCAAGGAAGGAAGAGGACGATGGTGAAGGTTGCGGAGTCCAGTCGAACCCTGGTCAACACATTTCGCCGAATCCAGAACTTTCGGTATTGCTTTCAAAGTGTAATTATTCGTAAAATCGATAGCCCGCTGTGCTTGCGATCGATTTTTCACTCGTGTCGCGTTTGTGGTGATGTGAATGCGTTCAGATACGACGCATCGAGAAAATTGGGACTAAACGTCCAGTTAAGTACATTATAAGGAAAGCACCGACGCCGACGACTGTTTCAGCGTTGAAACGAATTTTCGTTGGGCGGAGTATGTTTTGTTTCGTTTCGTTTCTCGAAATAACTGTACATTTCCTTTTTCTTTCAAACCATTTATAGTCCTATCTTTCTAAAACATTGTTTTTTGCAATACGTACATTCTCTTTTTGTCCTTCCATCTTTGAGACTCAATTGTCGCGTCATCGTAACAAAGGAGGTTTCGGAAGGCTTCTGGTGTTTAGAATCAAGACAAGTCTATTTACTGGGATGAGGTTATGCTATCGAGTGGAATTGCTAGTGCACCTTGTTGTGAACGTTTTCCGGCCCTACTCGTTTCTTTCAACTTTTGTTTTATCGAATTGGCACTATTCATTATACATCGATACTGGTTAATCGATACGCATCATTTAGATACATTTGACTGTACTAAACGCGCAATATAGCAATGAATTAACACGTTTCCGATTTCATCACTGTTGTCATCAAAGCGCACTTGCTGTGTCCATCAAAGCGCACTTTTTTATTAGTTTCGCATTCATTCGTCTACTCTGAAGCGTTAGGTTCTTCGGGTATGTCTCGGAACCTGCGGGTACCTACTCTTATTATATCTTTTATGTTGGAAGAGCGCCGCAGGTCTTCTGGAGACCTACTCAACATTTTTCAATAGCACTGTATATTTTTTGGGCTGGTGTCAGTCTGCAATCCGCCGTGCAATTCGCGCGGATCGCGCGACGGATCCAAGAATCCCAAGTACCTCGATGCGAGGTGCTCTCCAATCCTCCCGAGCCCCCCCCCCCCCTCCCTGCAATTTCACTTTGATGATGATGAATGACGGACGACTGTTCATGATTCTACTTGTTTCTTATTAAGTTTTTCGAATGTTCAGATGGGGCACTTGCAATTTTTTGCGAATCGCGCGACGAGTCGCGGACTCTGACACCTGCCATACGACTTTGCAACTCAATTTTTTTGTACCAGTTGTTACTACTCAAGTTCAGTGCAGCTGTTTGCGTAGCCTTGATCCCAAAGTCATCACTTCGCGTCGTTTTTCACAACTGAACCCATTTTGACAGTTGACGCTGGTGTTATACTGTCACACATGCAATTCCACAACCGATCTTAATTTGCCAATGGTCGAGAAAATATGTGAAATTATAAATCGTTTTATTTGCACCTAACAAGAGTAAATGTAATGGCACAAGATTTAGGCACTTCTGAATCTAAACCTGATTCTAAGGAGATCGACAAGTTGACACCTCCATATGATCGTCCTTCATCACAAAATCGCCACCTTGTCACTAATTCTTCTTCTCATTCTGAAGGTTTCTTTTTCTATATATTTTCTGAGTAATCCTAGCTTGACATACAGGTTAGCTATAGCTGTATGCGGTTTAATAATCCTTTTTGTTTCAGTGGAACGTCCCGTGAGGTTTTGGCGAACACCTAGTGGAAAGTTAATAAAACTGGATGCAAAGGTACCGACGATAACTCCAGTTCCTGGTTCTCTGGGCACTCTTACGAAAACGCAACCAAAGTTTATCAGATTGCCAAATGGAAAGTTAGCTCGGATATCAACCAAGGTGATTGCTTCGTTTTGTAGAGTAATATTAAAGCTCGTTCTTTGGGCTTCCTTGGTCGAACGGCGAGACCCGATTTTTTTCCTGATCGAATAGCGGGAGCCGACGCAGATGAAAAACTGGTTTGTCACAGGGATAGTAAATGGGTTTGTTCGAGGCTAGGGCACGGCGTCATATTTTGCGATATCGTTAGAATCGATACATATCTTCGCAGTGGAACTGTAAAGCCGGTGTCAGAGTTTGCGACTCCAGTGACTCGCTAATCGAATCGCTGGACTCAGAAAGTCACACCGGTCATTCGCTAGTAGCGAATCAGTAGATTTACTAGTTGCTCTACGAAAAAGCTGCTAGCGAATTGTTGCGATTCACAATGTATGGCACCTTCCTCTGCACCACATGACCGGATGGGATGGGAGGCTTGGATGCCTGGAGGTTCACTTGATTTTTCCTCAATGGTCCTGCCGCGATGGCTAGAGCACAGACGATTAGAGAACGGGTGAATGCCCTAGGACTAAGCCTTGGAGAGGAGAGGGACCCGCGAGAGAGCGCAGAGGCGGTTTAAAGGGCTGAGTTCAAGTAGTCCGTCGACCATGGGCGATGTACGGTACGGGAGCCTTGAGGCCGGACGCATAGTCGGTCGGACGACAGCAACGACTGCAAGTGTCGCACAGCATTGGGTGCGTATCGATCTGCGACACCTGCGGTCGTTGCTGTCGTCCGACCGCTGCTGTCGCAGATCGATACGCACCCGATGCTGTGCGACACTTGCAGTCGTTGCTGTCGTCGTCCGACCGGCAGCGATGGTGGCCGGCGGGCGGTTAGCATTGGCAGCGCGAGCAGGCGCCACTCTTGCCCCACAACCGCATGTCACCCTTTCAGTGCACACAACTCAAATTACACAACAGTGATAAGTTTAGAAGGGATTTGAGCCAGAATCTGATGGTTAATTCTTGCCAAATTTCGTACTTTATGGGAAATCGTTTCGGGTCAATGAGATATGGAACGAGGAGAAAATTGACGCGTAACTGGGGAGGGCTTTGTTGTATTGAGGTTTACAATTGCCTGAAATTGTCTCTAGTTTGCTTGTGTTACGATCTGTTGCCATTGAACTACAGGCTCCGCTCTTTACACAATCTAATGGCCAGAAAATTCTGAATATTCAACGGAGTCCGGTTTGCATTCCTGGGAAGTGCGTCTCGTCCGTTAGTATCTGCGAATTAGGGCAGTTTCCAGCAACCCATGCCGTAGTGAGCATTGGTCTTTTTGAGGTTTGAGTGGTTTTCCAATTATGCTGAGAAGATTCCGATCGCGCTTTCGCCCCAAGGAGTGCATAATTAGTATGCGGGTCTTGAATGAAGGACAGTTTCATCCAGTTTTGCTCGTGATACGAGGCAAGACTTGGAGTTCCCCCTTAAGCGGCGGATGTACAGTTCTCCACAGTGTGAATGGAAAGTCTTTGCGTAGTTCAGGCCACGTTGTGCTCAATAGCCTTTGATTACGTTTCGGGTATCACAGTTCTGCTGAGGTGTGCCGGGCGTATTTGGAACCGAAATGCCCTATCTTTGGGTTGCAATCCATGAATTCAGGAAGGCAGAAAAAAAGAACTGTTGCCCATGCAAGATCGACTTTTTTTCGTCACAAAGTGTCCATTTGGATGGGGTCTTATAGGGCGAAAATTCCTCAAATGTCCCTCTATAGGTAGATGCAAGATCTCTTCACTGTCCTCACCGTCTTCAGAATATGACATCATATGCCATGACGTCTAGCCAAGGAGACTTACCGTCTGCTCCAGCTTGAAGCTATCACAATTCCTCGAATCGATCCACTACTGGATAGTTTTCTAGAGGCCTTAGCTGTGGCTATGCCATCCCTCCCCCTTCCGGAAACGCGGAAACGCCCTTTCAGAAGAAGGCTTAATGGTCACGATCTGTCGAGGACCTCATTCAGCTCAAACAGTGCCACGTTTACTGGGCAGATTTTTTTGATGCCGTGCTTGTAGAGGGCGCAACTGGTTTAAATCCAGCAAGGTGTGATTAAATGTGGAAGAATGTGGAGACAAAATGCCTTTTTTTGTCCTCCCTTCTTTTTGGTTTTCGACATCATCCAATTTTCTGTGGGAGTTCACAGCCTTCCCTGGTAAGATCTTACACAAGCCTAAACTGAGTTGTTTACAATGGAGACCTAAGCGAATCGGCAGGGTCAAGAATGCTCACAGACATTAAGACCAAAACGGCTACATGTGCTTTCCAAGCATATTGTAAGCGGTTAAAGTTGTCTTCGGCAGGAAGTGCAGTAAAGAAGTTAGCTGTACCACCAGCCGGCGCCACCTGGGTCATGCGTCAAGAATGAATGTCATATTAATGACTAGGCCATTTATTTACCCCTATTGGCAAAGTATCAGAAGAAACTCAAGATACTGATGTGCGTATATTTGCAAAATGATGCATTTAATGCTAGCTTGGACCATTCACGACTTGTTTGGAAAGTTCACGTAGCACCTTTGTACTGTATATTTATGATCAGCTTCTTGAACATGTCGATTTTCCCGGACCATGCAAAAAATATACGAGGACTTGAACGTCTAGCTTGGGTAAGAAAATAAGGTTTCATCGGTGAAATTCATTTTGTTGTGTTTAGACTGCTCAGAACCGATCGATGTAGCTACTTTAATTGGAGCTGGTCCGACATCGTCTGAAGAAACGCCGCTTTTTAAAACAAGCGGTGATTCTCCAGCGATAAAAGATGAACCAATGGATGTGGAAGAAACTCCCGTTAAGCACGAGTCTAAGGAACATACATCGCCGGAGCAAGCGTCGACAAAGGATGCCTCACCAAAAGAACAAACGCAAAAGTCGCAAACATATCTGAGAACGCCACCAGTGCGCCAACCGCTGCTTTCGCTTGCAGCTGCTTTAAAAAGCATCGCCGCTAAGTCGGCTAAACGTCTGGAGCCTATTGCACCGCCACCTGTGCATCAACAACAACCCTCGTTAGAAACTGCCTTGAAAAACATTGCCGCTAGTTCGCAAGTGGTAAGTGTGCTGTTTTATTTATTGACTGACTGACTGTAATGAATAGTTAATGAGTTTTAGGGTGACTTAGGAAAGATAAGGGAGCAGCCATTGTTCAGCGAGGACCTGGAACCAGTTCACTTTAAGGAGTCGTGCAATGTGTGTCGCGTTGTTATCCCCGGTTTGAAAAAGTTGGTTTTTTTTTTTTCCAAATGATCAATTAACTTTTATATATGCCACAGATTTTGGAAGAAAAGGTGAAATAACAGTCGGCTCAACTAAAAAAGGAAAAAAAAATCGAAATTCAACAAAGGCTAAAGATGAAACATGGGACAAGCCTGTTGTGCTTCTCCTTCCACCGAAACTTCCCATTACATATGCACCACACATTGAAATACATTGCGTTCAATAATGATACAGCCACCTAAAATTTGTTCGAAAACTTAAAGTTCATAGAGTTTCTGAAAAACTGTCCAGATAGAAAATGTGACAAATTTCATGGCGAGTTCAGATATCAACACAAAAATCCATGTCGAAAACACTAAAAATTTTGTGCTTATTTTTTCAGAAGAGGTCGATTTTCCTATGTTCAAAAATGATACAGCCACCCCGTGTTTCTTCGTTGAAATTCATTTTTGCTTCATGAAACTGATTCGCAGTTATCAGGCTTTCACCTTAATGTTCCCACAAGAGAAAAAAGGCAGTTGGACTTTGAGAAGGGTAAACTGTAACACAAAAAAGAATCAGGAATCGTCAAGCAGTCATATTGCGCGAGAATTGAGTCAAAGCTTCGATACGGTCAACACAAAATTTCTGCATCACTGCAGGGTTCATCGAACAACATAAAGAGCTCTGATGTTTATCTCCGATTTTTTGGTGAAGTTAAAGCTCTAACATCCGGGGAACAACTCAATTTTATCAAAACGTGCCCGGGATTCGATCGTCTTTCACATTTAATCTCCTAATGGATATTGCTTGGGATGTCCTGAAGATCTTCCGAGGTCTTTCTCGAGTAGAGAATTAGAAAGGCTTCGTGTGAAAAAAGAAATCGTCTTGAAAACCGAGTCAGTTTGTGCTCGAAAGTGTAGCTACGTCGACTGGAGCAAGATCAGTGCTTTTTCTGTCAACTCTTACTTTCTGTTTACTTTCTTTCCAGTTTTTCCTTCCTCGTATTCCTCATAAAGGGTTTTTCCTTTCATCAGACCCCTATGAAGCGAAAAACATTGAGAGGAACGCAGACAGAAAGTAAGGCATAACGGACAAAAGAACTGATCTTGCTCCAGTCGACGTGGCTACACTTTCGAGCAAAAAATGACTCGGTTTTCAAGACGATTTTGATTTCTTTTCACAAACAAGGTCTTTCTCTGGAGAATGACCTCGGAAGATCTTCAACACATCCCAAACAATATCCATTGAAAGTTAATTTGAAAGAAGACTGGAATTCCGGGCACTGTTCGATGAAATTGAAATGTTTCCCCAAAATGCGAAGTTTAACTTGACCAAAAAGCAATGATGAACATCCAGAGCTCTTCTTTGTTCCATAACCTACAGGATTCCAGAAAAATTGTTAACCGTATTGGAGCTTTGACTCAATTCTCGCGCAATATGACTGCTTCACGATCACTGTTTTTCAAAGTCTAACTGCCTTTTTCCCTCTTGTGGGAACATTAAGGTGAAAGCCTGATAACTGCGAATCATTTTCATGAAGCAAAATGAATTTCAACGAAGAAACACGGGGTGGCTGTATCATTTTTGAACATTTTTGTGTTGATATCTGAACTCGCCATGATATTTGTCACATTTTCTATCCGGACAGTTTTTCAGGAACTTCGAGTTTTCGAACAAATTGTAGGTGGCTGTATCATTATTGAACGCGCAACAGCATTCCTTTTGGTAGCGTCTCCACCGGCATAGTGAGCTCTCTCACATCTTCACGTGTGATGCTATCATGAGCTCGAGAAGTTGTTAAGTCTTGTTTTCCAGGTTCGATAAAAAGGCTAACAGGGTGGATGGGATGAAAGTGATAAACGGGCATCTTCTCTTTGCTCTGCTGATAACCAAACATTTTATGATAAATTCCTGAAGGGGATGCTCACATGATCTCACAACCCGTGTCTGCAGTTTACCTCCGTTTGCTACTGTAACAGTGTATTTTTAGAATTTTGCAAACTAGCTATTTTGCATTATCAGAGGGTTTTTCATTTTGTGATTTATATTTGAGCGTGATCATCTTCCGTAGCAGCTACAATGTGTAGTACGTTATGAAGTTTGGTGTATCATTTTCCAGGAACATGATATCTCTCGAAGGACGGCTCACAGGTTTAGTGGAAACTGTCCAAAACCTCATTATGTACTTGAATCCGGTGATTATTTCCTTTATTTTTTATGCGTTCATTTTTGGTGAAATGCAATTTTTGTAAGTCGAAACTGTTCATTGTAACATTTCAAAACTTCCAGCTGGATAGGAAAGCAGCTGAGCTGGCCTCTATAGAAGGTAATCCGCCGGAAACAGCTGAAAGCAGTGCACCCGATCTCACCGCTGTTCCTACATCATCAGAACCTATAGCCTCCGGTGCGTAGTTGTCAATATTACTTCGGAACATTTCCTATGAATTCTTGTTTCAGATTTTGGTGACATTAGTGAGGCATCTGATGGTAGAATACCATCTATACTGTTGCCGGTTGCTCATAGAAATGGAAATCGTATTGAAATGAGAACGGTCGGTGCGACGGAAGTGGTGAATTCAATGGGTCATCGTCCAAACGTGGTCAGGTTTGTTCGACAGCCATTGAAATCTGCACCTGTTCCTGATTCTCTCTCGTCCTCGCCATCTACCTCTGGACGAATACGTTTCGTTGTTGCTGACAGAGCAACAACACAGCGATCAGTAAGTTTTAATATACTCGTCTACTTGCTTTTTTTGGGCGAATCCAATTTCTGAAATTTTGAAGGTTCCCTGCTCAAGTGGTGGTACACACAGCGCAAGGCCCGATACTTCCGAATCCTCTAATCAGAAAGCACAAGTGCGCATTGGACCTGGTGAAGATGTTAAGCCTGAATATGGTTCAGCTTCAAGTGATAAAAGTGTGAGTCTGTTATTCACTTTTGAGATTCCCACTGAGAATCAAGAGATTTTTAGTGAGCCGTTTCGACATTTGGCTTGCGCATATAATAACAACAAGGAGACTGTCGGACGGCTCGCAGTGCAAAAAAAGGTAAGTCCTGTGGTCACCTTTCCTTTATAAGCCATGTAAGGTCTCGATTTTCGAATGCCCCTGTAAGACCTCTAAACGACCTTGAACGGCAGATGCTTGATATTTTAACTCCTATAAGGCGGCGAGGTTTGTAGGAATCTCGAAACTCGAAAATTTTCTAGAAAGTTTCCAATTTTTACGGCTCACCCGTTTGCTGAAAGCAGATAAAATAAGCAGTAAAACTTTTTGTATCACCAACTACACGTAAAGTAATTGAGATTCACGAATTCTCTGCGTCACTAGAACAGAAAATGAAAGGTGCTCGGCATAAGTTAGAATTTGTTAATTATGCAAAATTCTCCGTAGCTACGCCTGTTTAATCCTAACTCTTTTCAGGGAGTTGGCCTGTGGAAGTGAATTAACTGTCGGGAAAGCGATTGGTCTATCTTCCATTTTGTAAATGTCATTTCTTTTTCTTACTGGACATATTTTCTGAAATTTTACCCTAGACATCTATTTTTATGTTATTCATCAATCTGATTGTTTTATGAGTTGCTATATGTTAGCTGTGAAGAGTTCAGAAAGCATCATTTTTTAACAGAGATGTTTGTTTGCATTGCTACGGTGATCTATTCAAGCATCGTTGGTATTCACAATTTTTGATTAGGCAGATTTTTACTGTCTTGTGGTTGTATATTTGAAATCTCTCAAATAACCTAGTGTCACGTAGTTGTTTAGTGCCTGAGCTTTTCATACCAGGTGTTCTGATTTTGTTGTGCATAGTTGAATGCTTGTTTCTCAGCGGCGTAAATTCTAGCACGTTTGTACCAATTATTTCTCAGTACCCGGGTTTTATTTTAATCGACGTGTTTTGTTTGTACTATATTTGCGGCACCACTTACGCGATTGGTTCGTACATTTAATAAATTTTTGTCATTTGACTAATTTTTTAAGCGATCTGTTATGTCAGAGGTTACCTAACCACATTTTTACTTTCACTTTATTTTCTAGTTCCGCTCTAGCTTTTGGTTCCACAGTTGCGTTTCTCTCTTTGTCTTTTTGATGTGCTGAGTGCTGACTAATAATGCTGATGGCGGCTAGATGTTGCGAATTCTTATTCAGTTGTGCTATGCGTTACTATGTTGTTAGGTGGAGCTTTTGTTTATTTGGTATGACGTCACGACCGAATCATCGTCTTCAGAGGCCAACGGTCCTGCCGGTCGGGCTTCGGGCTGGGTAGTCCACTGCCAAGAGCGTTAATTAGCTGTGACTGAAGCGGCCTTTGAGACGATGCGGTCGAAATGTTTGACTGAATGAATGGAAGTCTCACCTAACAACATCGTAAAGCCTAAAACTAACCTAACTGTCACACATAGCGGATAAAGTAGGCTCAATACTTACTATTGCGATTATCCGGTGGTGCTTAGGTTGTTGCTTGAGAACTTTAGTGGAAAATTATTTCAGGCTCAAGAGGTTCACGTTTGCAAGCAAGGAAAGAAGTGGTCGCAGTTGGACGAATACTAGAAAGGTAATCTAGAATAAACAGTTGCTTATTACTGATTTGTCCATTATTGAGTATTTTTGTGGATGTGAAATCCACTCGAATGCATTTTCTCATGTGCAAGCAGTGTTAGTGAATCACGGGTTATACAAGAGTGAAAGAATAAAACTTAGGAAGCATTCTCATAATTTTTGGGGTATTTTGCAGTAATGCTTTTGCTGAATGAATATTTGCCTCAAGTTGTAGTAGAAGGAACTAGGTGTGATACCAGGAAAAGATTCGAGAAAGAAGCGGTAGAGAAATGCACAATTAGCGGATGAACGATCGCCTGTTCTGGATTGGGCTTCAGAACCCTAACAATCGGTTAGTTTCCCATTTCTTTCCTCCTTGCGCAGTTATCTGTTCTTGGATATCACTTAAAACATGTTCTGCTTTTAGGTTTTGCTTAAAGCAAAGCAATTCGAGGCCATTGGTAAATTAAGAGGGGTTCCATAGCGTACATGAGATGGATTTGTTGAGAAGGAGAGCCAATAAAAGAAAAGCGGCAGTAATTGGTCACAAATGTATAATGAGCCCGCTCACTACTAAACTTGTCAGATGTTGAATCGAGCTAAGAGTATCAGCGTCGGGATGAAAAGAAATGGAAAAGTGAGGGGCTGCTAACCCGTTGCGTGCCACGGTGTTTCTACTGAGGGGCGCCTGGCCCACGCCCATTTATACTTGGAGCTGTGTTGCGCGATAGGCACCAAATATGACTTTTGCAATATTTGCATTTATCCGTAATGGGTTCGATAATGAAATTGAGTACACGCTTATTCACAAGGCAAGGGCTATGAATAAATACGCATAAAGCAAAGAGTAAAATAAAATACTCAATCAGGAAAGGGAGAAAACTGTGTGTTCTAGAAATGTTTTCCTTGCTTAAGCGCTTGCTGGTATGCCTAATGAAAGCGTATGGCTGAATGGAAGAAATAGTTAACTTGTATGGGCACAGCGGTGACGTCATGGGTGTAATGGTCGCTTAATCGCAATTTAAGCGGCTCACCCATCGGACACTAGATTGCCTTCTACACTGATTGATGCTCTGAACTGACTGCCCAAACTTCTAAGCACGCGCCTAGACCTAACCACGCGACCAAGCTAGCCATGTCGAAACACTATTAGGCTTAATTCGGTTTTAGCTGTCCTCAACTCGATTGTCGCCGTATTCCTACGCCTCCTTGTATCATTGGGCTTTACCATTTACTGTCTTTTTTGTTGTAGTGTCTTGGAATTCTTATGCCATTCAGGGCTCGATAATGCCCATGTATTTCAGACGCATAAATCAGTAGAGATTTAAGAGATTCTTATCGGACACCTTCCTTCCCTGAGCTTTTGAAACGCGGCTAGTCTGAAAAAAAGCATACAGATTCGCTTTTCCTGAAGCACTAGAATTGATTAACGCAAAGACGTCATGCACCACGACTTCGTTTATATTCATTATTCAGAATGCTGCCTGGTTTTGGTTTTCCACTACTGAACGTGAATCCAGGACTAGTTGCTGGTCAACAGCTACTGCTTAATGCGAATGCGTTGCAGCGAGGTGGGTATCTTTCACTGGGATTTTACTTTTTTTTAGGTCGATGACAATGTTAAGTTAAATCTAATCAGTCCAATTTTTAGTGATGGTCTCTACACCGAATTCATTCATAGGTGATTTTCCAGTGATGGTGTCAACACCAAATACTCAGTATGTAAGTGTTCCGCTTCCAAATGCGGCTCCTCATAGTGGTCGTCCAACACCCATGCTTGTGCCGCCTGGTATGGCCGGCGAGGATGGGAACAGCGAAAGTCCCCAAGCACATTCGGCACCGCCTGCCACGCAGGTAATAGTTGCAGTTGTAGTAGGAGCAATATTGGTAGGCTAAATTATACTGCATTTTTCAAGGAGTGTCCATGGACAAAGCATGAGACTGCTGATGGCCGAGTGTACTATTATAATAAGGTGACGAAAGAGTCATCATGGAACAAGCCAGATGAATTGAAAACTCCGCAAGAACGTCAGGCGGTATGAGTCAGCGTATTTTGCCCTTTCTCTAATCTATTTGAATCGATAGCGTTCACACATTCCCCGATGCAGATTGTACTTAAGCGTTCAACCCCTACTGCAACTTCGGCTAATGGTATATGGAAGGAATATAAAACGACGGAAGGTCGAGCCTACTATTACAACACGATTACAAAAGAAACCACATGGACCAAACCTGAGGGATTCAATACCCCTGCTCCTACAGCCACGGCACCCGCTACGACTGAAGGTGAGAGTGTTTATATTTCCTGTTTACATTGTTGAAAACTTATGCTGTGAAGTGAGGCCGGCGGTATTTTGAAAATCTTTTACCGTCTTCGTCTTCAAACTTTTGTCACCCTTAGTCGTTTTTTTTTCAATAAGAAATCGATTCCAGTAAGTTTCTCACTTCTGATGCCGTATGCTCATAGCCGGAAATGGGAAGAAACTGTCTCGAAATTCATTTATTTAATGGCTTTTTCACTTCAAAGTTTTTTCTCTGACGTCCGTATTTTCCCATGCACATAGACTCCTGCAATAAGGGTTTGTGGGCATTTTTGGTTCGAAAAAAACAATAATAGTGAGAGGTTTTTATCTGCTTTCCTTTCAGTAAGGGCGCTCTAATGAGTTGCACTATCTTTTTCGAGCGCAGAATCAGTGGCGCCTAATGTTTCGCTGGAGTCGTGATGTAGGGTAATTGTACAGATATGCAACAATCCCGAACTGGGACAGGATATGTGGCGCTCTATTGTCTCATCGTTTTAATGTATCTTTTACGATATCCGTGAAAATGGCTAGAAAATCGAGCTATTCGTATCCTGGTACATTTTAGGTGAAGCCACTACCACTCCGGAGGTAAAAACAGAACAGAAAGCACCTGAAGATCCAAAAGAGGAAAGTGAGATGGAAAAGGCTATGAAAGCAACACTTGCATCAATGACAGTGCCGTTGCCTGCCCCAGCTCCAGTGGGAATCTGCGGTGAGACAGTGCGTACCGTGTAGCGTGTTTCTTTATTTTTTTGGCTCTTCTTTGTTCTTTCTTAACTTATGCTCTTCTTTTTTTTGTTTTTGCTCAAATATAAATAGGTCTGAAAGCCAAGAAAAATGATTACTGTCTTTCCAATATTTTACTTCTTTTAGGCGGAAATGCCATCAGAAGACAACGAACAGGATCTGAAAAAGCGGCAAGCTGAACGATTCAGGGATCTTCTCAGGGACAAATACAACGAAGGTGAAAAATTCAAACTGTTATTCCATAGTAGAGCATATGAGGAGTGGGGCGCACGAGGACATTGAGTGATATTGAGGTAAGGACCATTTTGAATCAATGTGTATGATCAATCGATTTGTATGCTTTATTAGAAAAGCTCTTCTGTACGTGGGCGCATATAAATTCATTAAGTACTATAAGCTCATGCCAAATGCAACTCTATCAAATCAGCGGAATACTAGAGAGGAGGGGGTTGTCCCCACTTTCTATTCTTCGCTAATTTTGAGATTTCAAACCAAAACTGTTTTCCATTCCTTCAAATATATTTGCCAAAAAAGCCACTTTAGTAGTTTGTATTCCAGCAAAATTTTATCGTCAACCTGTAACTGGGAACATGCGGTCAAGCATATTCAAGGTGACCCACGCTTCCGTATCCTGACCAAGGTAAATACCGTTGTAGTTGTACTATTGACGTTTGTATCATGGTCAACTTTCTGTTTCTCATTTATACTTTTACAGGTATCAGAAAAGAAACAGCTGTTCAATGCATGGAAGGTGCAGCGTCAAAAAGAGGAGCGGGTACGATGAAGTCAGATTTTTGGCAGTTTTCTTTGTTCTTATTTTAGCTTGCTCAGGATGAGAAACGGCTAGCGATAAAGAAAGCCAAGGAAGATCTCGAAAAGTGGCTCCAAGATCCACCCAAAAATGAAACCGGGCTTGAAGTACATGAGAGCTCGTGACATTTTCGGCAAGGAAGCGGTCTGGCAAGCTGTTCATGAAGATGATCGACAAGATATTTTCCGAGAGGCTCTCGTGAGTTTCCTATTCCTAAAATGCTACTTCATTCTATTGCGAGATAATTTAGGGTAATCAACTCACACGAGCCCTAGGAAAGTTGTTTTCCCGAAGTTAGTTTTCTGAATGTGATAGTGCCGCTTTTAGGCGTATGTGCCGAAAAGGGTAGGTGCGGATGTGAATCGTGTGAGACGAGGAAGGTATATCAAGGCCCATTGCAGGAGGATTTGGAAGTATATGGCATCAAAGTTACATGACAAGAGCGACGTGCGGCCAGCGTCAAGTCTCTGATAGAGAGAATCCACAGTTTGCGTGACTACATTGCAATGTATGGTTGTGTGTTCTTATTCAATTTTTGATAAAGCGACTGTGGTACATCTGATTGTTTTCCGAAGACCTTCTCACTAGCGTTAATTGGACAAGAAGGACATGCCTAATTGTGTTTGAAGAGCACATCCGCCAAGCGGAAAAGGAACATAGCGAAATAAAAGAAGCTGAGGTTGGTCCCTTTTCGAATGGTAGTACCCAATTGATGCTCATAACCTGTACAAAATCTCTTTTTCACGTTAAATATATAGGTCTAACTTCGAGTAATGACACTTTTCTCGCATTTTTTTCTTGCATAAGGAAACCATAATGGTGAAATCATTAAAAAGTTAGCTGATGGCCTTGACTTCCCCTTCGGAAAAGGCCAAATCTTGGGTTTCGAATTCTAGCTTTGTTTTAGCGTATTTAATGAGCTGCTCTTTCTTTTGCGCAAGCGGACTAATGACGCTTTGTTTTCGTCCACAGTTTTGAAATAATGCCGCAGGTTTTTTTTTAAATCGAAAACTCAGCGACGCATAAAGAGACAAGAACGTAAAGTAAGAGAAGATTTCCAGAAATTTCTACAAGAGTTACATAAGAAAGGTGCGTTGAATGGCGAAAAAAGTTCATTGTTCATTTTTTTAATTAGTCCCAAACGTTTTGTTGAGAGGCCACATGAAACTTGACTGCAATTGTGCATTATAGGAGAGCTCACATCTATGTCATTATGGTCATCTCTTTATCCTGTGATTTCGTCTGATCCTCGTTTTGACGCCATGCTTACACAGGATGGTACGTCATTGCATGCTTTTCCTATTATATTTTTGAGCGTTATTTTTGGATGAAGGCATAGCCGAAGCTTATGTGTCAAAATTTAAGGGTCAACTCCACTGGACTTGTTTAAATTTTACGTGGAAGAATTGAAGGAGCAATATGGACAAGATAGAAGAGTGATCAAAGACATCCTCAGCGATCAGAAGAAAGTCGTTCAGGTTAGTTATGTGTTTTTGTGATTTTGTAAAGGTTCCCTCTACAATGTCCACAAAGGTGGACATCCCAAATCAACCTACTTGTGGAGTTTTCTAGGTCGACACAACGTTCGAAGAGTTTTCCAAGTGGGTCACATCAGCAGAAAAAGGGCTAGTAGTGGATTATGGAAATATGAAGCTTTGCTATAATTCGCTTGTCGAAAAGGTGAGGTAAATTTTCTAGTCTTGGGTATTAAATTTTTAGTCAGAAGCGTTTCAGGCTGAGTCAAAGGAGCGCGAAGCGGAACGTGAAGAGGCGCGAAAGAAGCGCAGGCAGGAAAGCGAGTTCCGTCATCTGCTACGCGCTCTACAGCCTGCTATAGATGCGAATTCGGAGTGGGCAACTGTCCGTGGGAAAATTGAGAAAGGAAAAGGCGTTTTTAGTGGTGAGGGCTTACTTCTAAGGAGCTTCGGAGTTTTTTTATTAATCTCTTCGAGATAGACTTTGGTATCAATATTTTCATTTCAGATTGATTCCGAAGAGTTGAGGACCAAGTACTTTGAAGACTACAAACGCTCCTTGAGCGAATCATGTGCGCATCATTCGGTCTCTAAAAAGAAGAAGAAGGACAAGAAGAAAAAGGGACGAAGAAGCGACGTATGTCCAGCCATATAGCGTTCAGTCATACTAACAGAGTGGTTAGTGTGAAGAGTTCTCTGTTCCAGAAGGAATCTGACAGCGATAGCGATCCTAAGGAGAAGAAGAAGCGAAAGAAGCACTCGAGAGAAGAGAGGGATAGCGATGAAGAAAAGGGTAAGGATGAAGAAAAAAGAAGTAGTGGAAGTACTGGCTGGAAGGGTTTCAAGATGTGCGGTTCGTTGCAGCAAGGAAAATATTTAGAACGATCCGAAAATTCGAAAAAGCACGCACGATCGCGATCACGTCTTCTTCACGAAGCGACGATGATAGAAAAAGAAGGGTTAGAGGCTTGTTTTTATTGAAAGGATGGTTCTCCCAGGACAATATTCATGTTTTCTCATTACTTTTTACTAGTTACATTTTAATAGTTGTCCCAGTTCATGTCGCCTTGCTTGGGTATGAAATAGATTGAATAGTTTGACAAAAGTTGCATCTGTTTACAGGAGTTTCTGATTCCGATTAGCTCAGCGGTATGGCTCATTCGACTACCACAAGTTTTGATGAAGTCAGTATTTCGTGGTATTGTAAGTAGTAGATCTCAAATGGTGTTGTTTTTATATTGATATTGTCGTGTTTTGTGCTTCGTTGTGGTAAATTTAATAAAAGTGTAGTCGTGTCCATGAGAAACAGTGTACAGTTGTGAGATTTCGCAATATGATATTTTGAATTATTCCAACAAAAACTATGGATGGTTGAACGGCTCCATTTTGCTTGCAGATGTCCAAAGCCTCTAAGACTGGTTCATTGGAACCCAAAAAGGTATGAAGCATTTCGGTTACTCCTTGATAATAGATTTCTGTGTTGAACAAGGAAGGAGACAAAATTTGCCATTCAATTGTAGGTGCATTGATTTTTTCCCCATTGCATTGCATTTGAGCGCAAGTTGCAGGGTGATGAAACCTTGGCAACGTAGGATGTTGCGGATATTTTTCTTTTAGTTGATTCCCTAATGATGGTTTTTTTCATACGGCAACCTTTAATTCACGATTTCGGGAATTAAGCGATGAACTGATAAGGGGGTTTAGAGATTACAAGATTTTGCACAAAGGATCAGAGACGTGGGAGGGTACGCTGCAGGGTCTGAGCAGCCTTCAAACTCAGCATTCGTGAGAGTAGTACATCCATATCCTCATCTCCTAGTCTCCTAATATCCTGATATCTCGGTGTGTTACACCCAGTTTTGATCGATACGTACCTACCGTTTCAGCTCTGTCGTAATCTCTCCTGCAGTTAACATATCTTTCTCATTATCGCCTCTTCTTCTAATCTCCTATGTCGTAGAATGGAATGGCGCACAACCTTAGATGATTATTGGTTGATTTGAACTATTCCTATTCAATCCATAATCATAATCTCCTATTCAATCCATCTTTTCGCCTGAGTATCCTATGTGTTATAGCCTGATCCACTGATTTTCAAAATCGTGGAGTGTGAACGCAGTTCACGCGTATTAAACCATGAGATCAAAAGTCACAGTAACAAAGAGTTCTCAAAGAATGTCATGCGTTAGCAAGTGCTGGATGAATCCGTCGTTTGGCGCTTACGCTTTATCATCTAGATGAGTGCTGAACTCTTCTCGCTTACGTATGGTGCACTAGTTACCGAAATGCTTCAAGACTACGAAGATCCGAAACTTGTGAACTTGAGATTAGATAAAGTAAGTCTGATACTAATCGAACCGAGATTCGAAGACTTCTAAAGACCTCAAATTCAGATTGGTTTCAACATGGGAACAAGGTTAGCTGATGATTTTCTCGCTAAGAATGCTCACGTTCCAAAATGCACTGATTGTCGGCAGATTGCAGAGGTCTTATCGAAGAACGCCATACCCATGTATTTAGGTAGAAAATCGAAACCTGTCACATCGTTAAAGATTTTCAACCAAAATGAGATTCAGGTGTCCCAGCTACGGTATCGAATTGGAGACGCCTTTAAAATCCAATCCTAAGGTTAATGGGTCGAAACACGACAGATGGAGATTTTTTGTATTGTATTGTTATTGAACTATACGATCGTGATCGTAAAGCTGTTTAGGGCCGGTTTTTGAAAGAAGTTCAAATGGATTACCTTGAAATGTAAAGCCTCAAGTCCCCCTCGAATCGCTCCAGCTATGACCTGAGAATAGTTGAGAGTGGACAAGGTTGCCGGTACTTCAACTAGCTCCGTCAATGGATTATTTTCAATTATCAGCGAGAATTCTCGATCACCACC